AACATCGCTTTATACGATATTGTTAACTTCAATCTGGACAAACCAAGAAACTTCAAATAATAACCACGATTCTGAGCCAATTAAATGTAATATATAATTTATAATAAATATTGCACTAACGAATATGAATAAAATCGCACGATAATATACACAAAGCTTTTCAATTTGTAATAAATAATCAGACAAGTAGCAATTGAAACAAGAATTGAAGCAAAAACATATTCATCCTACTTACCTACAAACTACAGCAAAATATTTATAAACAAATAAAAAGACACAATCATAATATGACTACACAGAACTCCCTCATAAAAATAATTAATTAACAAAAATTTCCTAGATAAAAATATGTGGTAGCAGCGTATCGTATCACTCAACAAATTAACCAACAGACTTTAAAAAAAGAACATTAAACATTTAAATTCAATAAATTTTACTCGTAATTATTATCACTCAAGCCCAACAACAGACAGTTATGGAAACTTTTAATGAACCAAACCAAAATATGAGATGTTCTATTATTAAACCAAATAACTCCATAGGTGTTACCGACAATGCAAAAACCAGTTTATTAGGTAGTAAAATTGGATTCTTCAAAAATTCCACTAATATAATGAACAATAACAAAATATATTTTTTTTAAATGACAAACAAAAACATCTTTTTCATTACTGACATTTATGACTCTTATTTCCTATAAACTAATGATTTATAAAATATGTTAAATACTTGCAATACAAATATAACTAACTTCTGCTTTTTAAAACGCTGAAATGAATACCAGCAGTGGAGTGTGGATAATATATTATTTTATGACTGTCGACGGTAAATTATGAGATGACGGCAGACAAGTTTTTTTTAAACTTTTGATGCTTTTAAAAAGTAAAAATAAAACGGTATGTATATAAAACATAGGTTATAATTATTATTATAAAGTTTTCAAATTAGATTAAAAACAACCTAATTAATAATAATAGTTTACAATAAATTTTAAAAACCATTTGTAACGCAAAGTTTGAAATTAATTTAAGAACTGTGTGCACGCATAGTATTTTTTTTTTCGTTACTTCTTTGTCCATTAATAATTTCTTAAATAAATCGATATGGCCTCAGTCGACATTCGTGTGCGCACACGATTCGCATGCGGACTCACGGAGAAATGTCGTAGTCCGTTTATAATATTTATAAGTTATAAGAGTACAATGTTTTCAAGGATCGATTTCGCACCAATCCAGTTTCATTATTTGATGTGAAGGAGAAGAAAACGGTCATTGAAAAATAGTGGCGCAAAGTCCAATGGCGTTCAAAGGATTTTTCCATGGGGAGTGATAATATTAAATTCGTGTCACAATAGGGAAGAAAATAAACGACACCTCAACGGCTCTACAACTATACTACTGGCTCCTATTATACTACTGACGCACTAAAGAAAAAAAAGGTAGGCAACTTCAATTTCAGTCGAAACGGATTTGTTTTTTTCCAGGAGTTATGTTATAGCCACATGTATATATAGACTAAGGTTGATTGTTATCTATTCATTGCAGTGGAAATAATACTCAGTTACCTATAAATGACCGAAAACGTCAGTTCAAAATAACTGAATTGACCCCGTTATTGCACACAGAAGTCTAAATTGAACAGTTATCGATTCAAATAAACATAGAAAGAATTGTGGGGGGGGGGGCAGTTCCTCCCCCATAGTTAGAGCTCAGTGCTGAATATACAAATAAATAGCTGACTAAATTAAGTGACTACAGTATGCACGTCCCTTAATGTAACGATGTTATGACTATTTTCTTTTTGAATAAATTTAATTGAAAAGTACTTAACTATCCACAATTTACAGTAAAAAACAGTATCCGCATACAGTTTTCGTTGTTGGTTATTGTTATTTTTTTTTTTATTAGATTGTCCATAGGCCAGTTTCTTTTTGGTCTCATATTTATGTTACCAAAAATAGTATTGGAGAACATTTATTATTATGTAATAGTGGATCCCCGTTAAAGCTAACTGAGAGCAGAATCATCGGTATAGTGAAGTTGTGCTGGTTTATTGGTTTTTTGAATTTTCAAATTAATTTACGGGGAGGGGGTGTATATCAATTGTGAAATACCATAGCGCAGGTTACTAGAAGTAGGCTGCAGGTAGTTTGAAATGTAACTTTAGTGTGTGCAAATGTTCGATACATCGGTTCATCCAATAATTTAATTCTGCTAGTCCAAGCTGGTCTTATTATTGCTTTGTACATATTTTATTATTTAAGTTCATTATTTGATTTTAATATACTGAATCCAGTGTGTGTGTGTGGTGTTAAGTGAATTAGCTTTTATTGTTGTATTTATATGGTGTGCCGAACTTAGTGTTATGAGTGAGATTATCCTTAGATAGCTGATAACATTATGTGGATTGCCGAGGCTGACTTGTGATCGGATGGTTTTCATGGTTAAGTACTCGATTTGTTGGCAAACTTTTTGACTGATTCTAATGATTTCGTTTGGTTTATTTTGATTTACTCCTCATATAATTTGCGGGTTTTTAAAATAGTTGATGACTATGTGTGGGTGAGTAAGGTCTCAATAACTAATAATACAGTATTGCTATGACTTTAACAATTGATTTATTTTATAGTTTGTGTAATTTATTTAGGACGAACTGCAATTTACACAATATTGTATTGTTTAGCGATGGTGACACTCTCCTTTGGTAGAACGATAACAATCAACAAAGAAAAACACAATTTTTCTAAGAAATAATTTTAGTAATATCAATGTAGTTAAATAAGTTTTGTCATTATTTTACCAGCAGTAGTTACACCACTACGCCTGCAATGCAATTAGGAGCGCATAGGGAAGAGTTCAATAATTTTGTCACCTTTGAAAACACACCTCTATTATAATATTATTATTGTCTATTGTTGTCAGTCAGCGCACGAAGTCCAACGATATAACATGACACTCCACACACATCGCATTAATTATCACATTACACAATGATAATAAAGTATGCACTGTAAGTCTTAATGCAATTATTGGCTTTTATTTTTAACACTCTGGAACCCATTTATTCCCTTTTGGTTTCCTATATCCAATTCCGGAAACACGAACTTCAGTTGCAAATTCACTATTTAAATAGCCTATGGTGATTTATAACGCTTCCTATTGAACGTCATAATAGACAATAGTCCTATACGGGTCTATTAGGGTATTAAAATTCCACGAAAATCTAGTAGTAAATCTGTAATCACTACTCCTTTTTTGTGTTTATCGACCGATAACTGGAGGTATTTTTTTTGCATTACAATATCAAATTGCTGAATTATATGTTCAACGATGAAAATATTAAATATCACAAATCATTGAAAGTATTCGAAAAAACGAATAAAACATTTTATCAATTTTATTTCTATGAAGACCTATAAAATATAATGGCGTAATATTTGCTTTTGTTTTAAATTTAATTACAGAGAACAATAACTATTGCAACAATATCGAATTCTCATTATGGGGAACAGTTGCACAATTTTTTATGTTATAACCCAAATTTGGTTTGTGGGCTCTAAGCGTAGGTACCTATTGCAACTAATAATTATTATTACTAATAAATTATTATTACAGCCCTATATATATTACACAAAAATAATATCACATTATATTTAGAACAAAATCCATTATTATAAATTTATTTCGACAAATGAATTCATTTACAAATTAAATTTTCATCTTGCAGATTTTAAAAATATTAATTCAAATAAAATCAGTCATTAAATACCTTGCACATTTTATTGTGGGAAATACTATAGTATTTATTTTAGTATAACTAATACAATTGAGAAAAAAAAAACATTTTTAAAATTTATTATTGAATTATTTATTAGTTGGTAGGCTGACTAAATTCAAAATATTTATTATTTAGAACAATAATAATTAACACCTGTCTATAACGTCTTGTAGGAATCTATTATTTTATTTCAACTCAAAAAATAGAGTTTTATTGAAAAAAAATTTCCTGGTTAAAATTAATGATTTTTCATTAGTACGAGAACTGTGAAGAAGATTATAGGAATTATTAATCATACAAATTATTGTGGCTTAGGTCAATTTACACCTATTTCTTTTTAACGATTATGTATGGATTATATGGAATTTAAAAAAAACGAATTGCGAAATATTCAGTTCAATACCTACCTATTTACCTATTTAAAATAATGTAGTATACTACCGCATAGTATTTGAGCTTTTGTTATGGACACATTTAATTGAAAATGTAACAATAATTCGGTCAATTTGTAAAAGTATAATGTAGTTGTTTATTAGATATGTACAAGATTTTCTAACATTTTATTATTATTCCTATAGTAGTACAATATAATATAAACCAATTCGCCCAATTTATTCACAACATGAAAATTTAAGATCGCTAATCGCAAGCATGTTTTGGTACCTCATAACATGTAATTTTTCCAATATGAGTGAACACTTTTCTTTCGTTATAAAATTAATTCAGTACTTATAATGTTGTTCGACAATAGAAAATAATGGTATTAAAATAAAATGAAACATTTTATTGCGTGTTACTTAGGTGTATTATAATTTATAATTCATAATATGGCTTATTCAGAGTGTAACACTGAAATGAGTTGAACGTGGTGACCACTTTTGTTCTATGTACCCACAGTCAAGATATAAATATTATCGTTTCCGAATATTATTACTGGAAGTATTTTGCGAGACTATATCTTTACTTTTGTACTCTGAGGACTGTTCGGCCGTACAGCGTCTATAAATATTTTAAGGCATTATAAATAATGTAAAATGTGCAAACAAATAATCATAATGTCATATTGTACTGCAAAACTACCCGAAATAATGCACACTCGGAGCGACAATAATATGGAATCGTGGCCACAGTGTTAATATCGCTAATAAAAAATTAATAGCTGCATAATATTATAACATCGCATTCAATGTGTTGTATAAGTACAGAGTTATGCGGGTACTCACAGTAAACGATCATCCTCTTGATCATGAAATCTTCATCGTGGTACGTGGACACGACGCACCTGTAGTCGCCGGACAGCTCGATGGTCGGATTGATGATGTGCAAGGCCCTGTGCATGATAATATTATATTATAGAAATAGTATACGCAATTACAGTGTAGTTTAGTTATTGTAGATTCTTGCAATGCCGGTTACCGAAATTGATCGTTGTTCACAAAATATGTCAATTTAATTGTCTACATATTTTTGTTTTGGCGATTTTTTACGGTTAATACGGAGCAGCTGCCAGGTCGTACAGCTATGTATTATTTAAATCGCTTAATTAATTTATAACAATATATTATAACGTTACGAATAATCCCCGGTTCGTGGATTAAGTCTCGACATTGCTAGGGTATAAGATCGAGTTCACCCAAGCAGCCTGGGCACAGGGTATACTGTTGTGGGTTCTGAGACAAAATTATTTGATTATTTTTTTTTCCACATTATCCCGGGTAATTCAAGATTACCGACTCGCGACGCTCGAGGAATCATGAAATGAGTGTTTTAATTTTTTCGTTTGGTTAAAATTTTAATTTATAATCGTGCAATGATTTCAATAATTAAATGTATTAAAAAAAATTATATTTATGTGATTTTGCATTTTAGTATTTTTTTTTCATTCCTATCGGTGGTAAATAAATTGTACATTATAATTTTAAATTAATATCTATTGAAATGATTCAATGTCGGGCAGTCCGAGTTGAAGCGATCGAATATATATATACCATATATTTTATTTGTAATCGAGACAATTATCGAATTTGTCGATACTGGCCAGTATTGAACAGTTATTTTTGTTATCTTTCAAAATATAATAAATAATTTATTTTTACTATCGAATTTACCCAAGAACTTGTGGTTGGGTTAGTTATCCGGGTAGGTATTGGAAATATTTTCTATCGGCTATTACTAACATTTACTTTACAATGGATAACGTACGAAATCGGATAATCGATAAATAAAATAAATAAAAAATAAAAAAATAAATGAATAAATCGATATCTTACCCGATTAATGTCGACTTTAACCGATATGGGAGATTACCCAAAACATAAATCTCGTATATATAAATAGGAGAAGGTAATATCAACATGTAATACACAATAGTTTATATTTTCATGTAACATAATGTAAGTGTTGAATCTTTTTTTTTATTAGCATTTCTAAATTGTCTGTGTACTAAAATAGGTATAAATATTATTATAACCATTGTATAAATAGGCACCCAGTACTGAATATTATAATCATTCAATTAAAGAATACAGTTGGAAGTATTAAATTAATTATTACATTTTTTTTTACAAAAGACAGAACTGTAATATTATATAATATTATAGGTATTATGTTATTCTGAGTAGATCAAACAATTAGTTGAAATCGTTAAAAATTATTTTTGCTTAACATTTTCAACTTCAAACCTTGTGCTTCACAATGTAATATAATATTCATAATATTATGTTGTACGTAAATACTTTTCACAGAATTTAGTAAAATTTGCATCAAATAGTTTTGGTTTTTTGTTGAAATTAAAAAACTATTAGTCATGCAAAATATTCCACTATTATATATTATTGACATAAATACAATTTAAAAACATTAAAACTAATTATGTGCTAAAATATATTAGTAAGGGCACATGCAATTTCGTAATTTTGTAATCGATTAAGTTTTTTTTTATTTGTCAACATGTTTGATTTTAAGTATAAAGAATTAAAATTAAAAAATCTAAGGTTCTCATTAATTGTTCGTAAGACCATTTAAAAACCATAGTATATAACTACTGTAAACCCATTTTGTACTTTGAATAAACATTTGAAATTTCAATGGTTGATCGAACCGTCTAAATAATGACAATTTTTAAATAATGTAGTGGTCTAAAGGCTTAAAACTATACGAGGTTCTTCATTAGTATTGTTGTTAGATTAATTACAATGAATACATTTTTAAGTAAACAATTTGTGGTGCACAGTAAAATATAACTTAAATAAATATTATCAATATACAAATAACTTTTGAGGAGATAACTAAAGCGCGTATCTACGTCGATAGCAAAATATTGTGATCGAAATTACGAAAAACAATAAAGAAAACCCCCCACTAGTATTTATATCTCACAATCTAATACTTTTGAATATCTTACGTCGAAAATAATTATTATATTACCTGTGCATGGTCTCGTTGTCGTCAGACACCTTGTAGTCGAGATTGGCACGGTGGCGGAACACGCCGATGCTCAAAGGCTTCTGACCGGGAATCCACTGATAAACCGGTCTGGCGCTGTTGTTGAAATACCAGGCGACCACTAGCCCGATGGAATTCGGACGTAGAGTGTACAGACAATCAAGCACAACGCCATTTTTGATGCTGGCCATCACGGAAGTGGGCACTCGAAGTTCGGTGAGTGTCACTCCACCTGCAACATCGAGAACGGCGTCATAATGGGCTCGTGATGAAAAATCATAATAGCTAGGCACATGCCGTACGTATGATTAAAGGTAGTCTAATGTGATACTATGTACTCGTAATTATTACGAGAAGTGAGCGAAATGTGGTAAATGTTTTGGCACTTTTATTCGTAAAATTTAATAAATAATATACAAAATACTGATTTTTTTTGTACAAGAGATTTTCAATCCGATAACGTCACAAGACCATGTCGGAACACACTAATTCCTTCTATTTGAATAAAGTAAATGCCAGACAAAAATGAAAATATAAACAAAATGTACAGAAACTCTTCGATTTTAAACCGTCAAACCGATGACACATTCCTAGTTCAACTCAATTTCTAACGTGTTGCTAAATATTACTTTCTTACTTGCCTCAATTGAAATATTATTGAATCGAAAATAAGTACAATTAATCAATTTAAAAATGAAAAGTGAATATAAAGAAAATAGTTATTTTTTTGTTATTTTTGATTTTTATAAACAAACAAAAATTAGCTACAAAAAATCAGGGCCGTCTATTATATGTCGTTCGTAGTCGATAATCATGTCTGGTCTTTGGCTGCGACGTTGATGGAGTGAATATAAGTTTGAAAGCGATTTATACGATGGCCATCAAGATCGTAAATCGATTTTGCTACACAGTGAATAAATTGAAACATTTCAGGATATCCGCGTCCGACTTATGAATACACGATAATAATAAAAAAATATTTAAAAAAAAAAAAAAAGCATGTGTCATTTTTAGGACTGACTTCCTCAGCGCTCACTGATGATCCCGTTTCTTCGTTTCCTTCAAATAAACTTATTGAAACACCACATGTGTGCCGGACAGAAAACTATCTGTGAATAAAATTACATCACCATTCTACCAGAGGTGGACGTGCTCGGAATATAGTGCTCAAAGTTTTCTGTTGACACGGCCACATTTCACTACATGGATGATCATGTTCGAATAAAGGTTTTATAAACAAAAAATATAAATAATAAAATGAACACGTGACAATATAAACGCACGTTGCAGCGCAGTTGTTGCCGTCGTACGAAACCGTCATAATAATAATATGTTCCATCCAAATAATGTGAACAAATCAATAATAATTGTTGTAATTGCAATGGAAATTATTAATGTTATTATAAGGATCGACGACTAGGAGGAAAAACAATATCCTACTTAGTCGCAGTGTTCCGTTGAGTTGTCCACGTCTACGTGTCCCGGTTTTCCAAAACTTTTATCACCTGACGGGCATTTTTTTGAGATCTGCTTGTTGATAAAAACTACCTAATAATTGTTTTTTTTTTTTCAGATATCATATTATTATTAATATAATATTCAGTTGACACCATAAACACCATCATATTTAGAATATGGCTTTTTAAGATTACTAGTATCAGCTGTAGCCAGTCATGGCTATACTGTGTGGTTAAGTGCATGAAAGCGATCACACAGTTAGATAAAACGTTCCTCACAAATTGCTCTTACATCAATTAAAACAATTAAAAAATATTCAATAAATAAAAACAATTTTTTTTTCATATACTTTTGATCTTTTAATTTTGAAGAAATCGTAACGTATACAATTTTAATGAAAATTTAGAATTGTCTGTTATTATACTGTAAGTCCGAAAATACTACTTACATAAAGTGGACATTTCTTACTGCCTCGAGTTAAATTTCTAAAAGGCAGGCGTCAGCGTAACAGAGTTCACATTTTATTATATTTTCTATTCACAAGCTAATTTGATTAATTTAATATAAAACTAGTACACTACCTAAAAATGCACACCGTTCTTCTCAGAATGTGGTTTTGAGTTATAAGTTGTAAAAATAATTTATAATCATGCATATTATTTTTTATGTAGTATTTGCTATTTTTTTTTTTTTTTGGAAAAATAAGTCCAACCATATAAATCTTGAATAAAGGGAAGGGACTGCATTTTTTTTAACCATTACGATTTCTCTTAGGCAAGCTTTAAGGTTAAAAAAAATCGCCAAGGGGACTTTTCTCGCTAGTCCTTTCTCTTGCGGTCCACTAAAAAAAAGATAGACTATTAATCGTATAGATAAATTTAAAAATATCGTTAGAAACAGTAGCTGATAAACCGTGAAGTATTCGCTGAGGAGAGAATCGTTTTTTGTATGCAATCATAGTATATTAGTTATTAATTTCCAATTTAACACATACAAGTGACCTGCTCGATGGACAATGGCATGCGATTATGTACTCGAACATGTGGTATGCTATACAACAGTAGAGCTACTTCGGCTTTTCTCGATACTTGGAGAATTCCATATCAATGAAGTTAACACGGAACGCATAACTTAATATTATCAGCGAACGAATTAATATGCGAGATAAATCTGTGTAAAGAACATATTACATGGACGTCGATGACATTGTTCATGCAGTATTTACTGAAATAATATGTGCTCATAGTTTATTGAACTCATCCTCTCTCTTCTAAGGTATACTAGCTGGTCCCGCGGCCAGACCCGTTGAATATTGATATCGTGCACCCTGTATAATAATTACGTATTATTACGTGGATTATAATTTAATCGTGTAATCAGAAAGTGAGCACAAAGACCGTTTGGAACTAAACGAACGGCGGACAAAAGGGAAAGGATTGCTTTTGTTAATAATTAATTATGGACTTTCGTGACACGTGCATGGGGCATATAATCATAATATTGTGTATTTACAAACACTGCAAGCTCTGAACGGCGTCGCAGCCAGTTAATATTATAATCATGTTACGATATTATGATAAATCTCGTCATCTATTCTCTTTGCCTCTCTTCTCGCGGACGTTCATGCCATTTCTTTCGCAAATTATTACGGTCGTCGTCAAACCGTTCGTTCGGCGTTCGTTTTCAGTGGCGCATTTTTACTGCCCGAGGCGATAATAACAGAGGAATAACATTAATGGTTATGGTAATAACAATATGAACCATGCAAGTTACACACAGCGATTCCGAGAAAACCGCATTCGCTTAATAATAATATGTTATTATCATTATGCTCATAATAATATTGTACACGTCAATTCACGCTCACATTAAGCAGATGTATATTATACGATAATTGAATATTATTCATTCAAGTTCACATACGCCGATAGAATACACGATGCACGCGTCGCATTAACGTTCGAGTGAAACTTAACAAGCCTCCACTCGTCGAGACGGCGAGCGCGTTATTATTATTATTTATTATTATGCCAAACGACGACGACGAATAATAATATTATTATGTTTTAACGAAACCGTTCATGTCTGTGCAAGCAATCTCAAAACACATTTCTCGAAAACAAGCTCACGATTTATGTTTTCAAACGCAGATAGCATAATATTATTTAAATTATATCACGGACAAGTATGAACGATCTACAAATGAAATCCAATTCCATTAAAAACCAAGTGTTTACTTTCGTGAGATTTTAAAATTTTTTTTTTCAGCAAACAGTAATTTTCACTCCTCGTCAACTCGAATGTTCATTCTTACCCAGCTTTAGAATTTAAAGTAAAAGTAAAATAGCATTAGGATTATCTTATGTATGGACGAGTATGCGCTCACATGTGAGTGTGCGTGTGAGCGTGTGTGTGTGGGTGTGTGTGTGTGTGGGCGGGTGAGCGTTCGAGTTTTGTTTGCCATTTAAATGTTTAATAATGGAATCTATAATGGGACACCGTGTAGTGCACTTGCAGGTATATCTGAAGAGTAAACAGTTATCAAATGGAGATTCTCGTTTCCAAACGTGGGAAATTGAACATGGTGAAATTCAAGTACCGTGCACCACCCGGTCACCGATGGTTTTTATATGATTTGGTAACTCAAAATTGAATAATATAATACGGTCTGTACTTCATGTACCAATATTGTGTTATTTTATAACATCAAAGAGATACTAAACAGAACTTGTACTTGACTCGTGATTAATTGTATCAATTTTAACCGTTTTTCGCAATAACCAATTTATGCGTCGACTAACCGAACTCAAATGCTGATAGAAAAATCTTAGAAAATCATTGAGTTATCCAGAAAAATAATGAAAAAAAGTCGTTTGAAATAATAACGTTAATACAAATTTGAACTTTCATGGAAAAAATTTTAAAAACCATTTAAAAAAAAACAATATCTATGCATGTATGATATTCTCTTCAGTATTTTACGTTGTTTTTTCGGGCAACTCGTCACGATATAAAATAATAATATTAGGTGTATAGGTAATACTAAAATGCTCGAATTTATCAAGTTACAATATTCATTTTATATTTTTATTTGCCAATAATATATTATTATAATTTGATGTAATAATATAATATTAAAGAATATTATCAAATACGTAGAAGCTTAAGAAGTAAATAACCAATATTTTGATTGGGCAATTGATCATCAAAGAACGAACTTAAATTTTTTTTAGGAATTTCTCAATGCATAGTATCTAATACACTGCAGTGACTAGTTTAGTTATTCATTGTTATAATAATCGTGTATTTTGCACCACAACTACAACTGTAGTACGAATAGTACGATGATGTTAGTCATACAAGTTATACTGTTAAAGTAACTACTTAACATTTGTGTCTCAAATTGAAAATATAATATGGTAGTCAATAGGCAACTATACTAACATATACTAACAGTATAGTACGTATATAAAATAACGAACAGAAGATGTGATTTAGTTTTACAATAGTAAAGTTCAATACTTCAATACAGTAGCACTTCCACTCATTATTGAAATACACGCACTTCATAATATCTTTAAACTATGTTTATGATAATTAATAACAAAATACCTATATTATAGATCTTGGTTGTGGTGGTACACTTAAGTATCTCTTAACTGATCATTATTATTTATTTTTGTCATCGTATTATATGTACGTGTATTTGTTGACATTGTATTGGATACGTAATCCACAATATGCAAATATATAATATCTATAAATCAC